GAGTGTGATGGCCTCCTTGCCCTATTAGCTTCAGTTGAAGGTCACAACATAGAAGAGTCACAGTTGATAGAATGTCATGGGCCAACTCAAGCAGGGGTATTTTCATAGTTAAAACATGCTATTACCATCTAAGTGCCCATAATGGCATAATTGAAAACCGGCCATGGAAGCTCATATGGAGAACAAGACTTCCCACCAAGGTAATGTGCTTCGCATGGATTGTCATAAACAATGCCTGTCTAACTCAAGACAATCTTTGTAGAAGAAGCATCCCACTGGTCAACAGGTGTTATATGTGTATGTGTCATCAGAATCTGGAGTCCATCAGTCACCTCTTTCTTCACTGCCCAGTTGCAACAGAGTTGTGGAATTTTTTTCTCTATTTTTGGACTGAATTGGGTGCAAGCCCAGTCTCCAACGGAAGCCTATGTATACTGGAACTCTTGCGGAGTTGACAAAGCCATCAAGAAAATCTGGAGAATAATCCCAGCTACTATCTTTTGGTGTATTTGGAACGAAAGGAACCGTAGATATTTTGATGGAATCTCAACTCCAACTCACACTTTGAAGGGCTCATGTTTAGTTAATCTATACAGTTGGAATTTTCTCAAACCTGTACAATGCGCAGTTAATTTTTTGGATTTTGCTGGCTCCCTGATCTTTTGTATTTTGGAGCTGCCATTATCATCTCTTTTGTACTTAGTTTGCATCTTCTTGATCCCATTCAATGACAATTACTTACTTCATCAAAAAAAATTACCTTTTGAGATGATGATCAATCCCTGCTATGCTGGCTAATGCATACGTTCAAGGAAGAAAATAGAAACCAAAGACCAACAAAATTTAAACTTGAAAACTGGCCATGCCAATTAAATTTGGGAAACTGCAACACGTAGGGCACAATAATTTCCTTCCAGCTAATTGGTTGTCTCTCCAACCAAGGCATACTTCACTTGTTAATGTTGAATGCAATGCCTACACTATGTGAAAAATTATACTTTTCTTTGTCCGCAAGCATAAATAACAACAGTTGGACAGTCACATTCTACTCTTGGCAGAACTACAGTTCGTGGAATCGCGAGGGAAAGAAAGAACCTACTATCGAAGACTAGGAATGCCAACAGATAACCCAATGATTGAAGGCGCTCTAAAGCTAGGTGCAACTCAGCTTGGTGATTCGCCTAACCTAGCTGGCGCTATGATACTGACACCAAAACTCGGAGGAATGCGCCTCCCACCTAAAGGCTGTCTTAAAGAGGGTGGTGCACATAATAAATATAAATTATATACAGATAGTTAAGGAACGTCGTCAATGAAAATGTTAACGACTGGTCATATAAAATAAGATTCTTCTTTCTATCAGGTAATTTAGAATTTCATTCAATCAGCATCCAGAGGATGCATTTAAGTATAAAAAAAATGATATAGCTCCTGCACATTGCATCCACCCCAATCTAAGAACTTAAGGAGCTGATAAAATATCCCAGAATATAAGATATTCAGATGCTTCGTGCACCGGGCAGCCCTTTTATGTTACGCTAAATCCGGATGAATGGACACAGCGTTTATAAAGTCGATTTCAAATAATTTGAGAATGAGGTATAATTGACTTATTGATGCTTCACTAATTGCATTTTTTTTCAATTCTTTTGCCTATATAATTGTTATTTGTGTTTTCTAAATACCCATTTTTCCCTTGTGTAACACATTACTTTCATTATTTCATCTGTGTGTTCCTTCATTAAACCAAGTGCTTTAGTTGCACTTGCCCAACAGATCTTGGCCCTTTTCACACTTTTTACCCTTTTTAACACCAAAAGAACCATAATGATGCTGATAAAAGAACAATCAGTGTGTACAAATAGAGCAAAAATATCAATGCAGCCTCCCTACAGTAGTCATGAAGACAATACCAATCATCTTCCTTAGTCGATGTACCTTAGTATATTTATGTTTACTCCCCACATATTCCTTGGTCAGAGTGACAAACCTTAAACTATTTACCTTTACTCCCACAGATAAGCTTCTTTAATGGTTTCCTCAGTGAAGTCCACTCTAAAGAATACCACACTTCTCACCATAATTCAACCATAATGCAGGTTAACAAACCAAGAGACCTCGGATTGACTCAAAAAAAGCTTTATTAAATTTTTTCACCAGATTAGGTACAAATTTGACCAAGTACAAGACCTAACAGACTCAGCTTGGACGAGCCGAAGGACCGAGGACAAAGAAGTATAATTTTGTTGACTAGTTTTACGATACGCGCATTGTGCGTGTACCCCATATCAATGAGTATAATTTTTTTTTAAATCACACAAATATTATTAAACTATATGATTGAATTATAAAATAAAATATTAAAAAGCAATAATGAATATTGATTATATTTAGCCAACTTTATAAAGGAAAAAACTATGTCATACTCTAATGCCTTATGATAACTTCGATATATTAGTTGTGCATTTATTTTAGTAGCATAGACATAGTAGAATAACTAATATATTGACTTGTATTCACATATCATGCAATAATACATGTTCTTCATGGATTTAAAAACTGTATTCTCTTTACTCAAGTATCTAATATATGAATTCATCGTATTCCTATTGAAACTCAAATCAACTCAAGTATCTAATATATGAATTCATCGTATTCCTATTGAAACTCAAATCAACTCAAGTATCTAATATATGAATTCATCTTATTCCTATTGAAACTCAAATCAGAAAATACGAGAAATAAAAAGACTCCACATTGTTAGGTTTAGTTATCATATGAAGAATTTAATTGGATGGGTAATATTAAAACCCAACCAAATTTATTTTTAGTAAGAAATAAAATGATCATCGTAAAAAATCAATGATTATTATTGTATTATCCAACTAAAGTGTATCGGAATATAATATAATTCTCAATATTATATTCCTCAAAAGATATAAAAGTCTATTAACATTTCATTTAGATTTAATGTGTATTCATTGAAATCATTACAATAGTGTTTAAATATTAATTTTATCTGCTTAAATATTTTGAGATTTTTTTATTTATAAAATAGAATTACAGTTAACTACTTAAAAGTTATTCATTGATAATATTTGGGACGTACGCTCGGGCATTCGGGCGTTCGAGGCGCGTTTTTTTAGTAAGGAGTAAGCCTCAAGGGGTGTACGCCCGGGCGTTCGGGGCACGTTTTTTTAGTAAGGAGTAAGCCCCAGAGACTTTTTCAAATTAAAACAAAATTTGTTGAATTAGTCCTTCATATAATACCCAAATTCTCAAAAGTCAGTTTGGTAATTACTCAAAAGGTTTAAAAAGGAACTCAAAAGTATTAAATTTAAAAGTAAAGACCTTTTTTATTGATTTAAGCCCTAATTCATGGTTTTTCCAATTTTTTATCTTGTCCGCTAGTCTGCTAATATCTCCCAAAAGCAACGAATATTTAATTTTTTTTACAAATACAAAGAGAACTACATTTTTCTTCATAGCAGCAAATTCAAAGTTCAAATTGCAGGTTAATCATCCTTTTTATTCCTCCATATAGAAAACTTTATTCTTTTAGACTCAAATTACTTATGCTTGTAAGTAACGTATAATAGATTGTTTTGATTAATTTTTTGTGGGGATGGAGCACACATATATATAGTTTTCTTCAATTTTTATGCAATTTTACCTGTTTATAAATATTTACTGTCATTATATTATTTTATAAAATATTAAAAATTAAATACCTATGGGGCTTACGCCCCGCTGAGGCATATGTAAAATGTCTCGCCTTACGCCAACGCCTTTTAAAACACTGGTCTTTACTACCAAAATTTTTAGCTGAAAAAATCATTTTGGAAACTTTCACCTCCCTCATGGGCAGTTTTTCAATACTTTACGCGGGCATAAGAATTGTGAAATTCCGGAAAAAAATTAAAAAAAATTCAAGCGGAAATGGTATTTTGAAAATTAGAGTTGTGTTTGGATAGGAATACAATTTAGAATTGTTTATGAATTTTTGGGAGTGATTTGAAGTGAAAATTTTGAAAAACAGCTTTTTGAAGTTTTTCAAATTTCCGAAAAACTTCGATATTCAACTTCAAGTGAAATTTGAAATTTTCATGGCCAAACACTGATTCCAGAAAAAAGTGAAAATTTTCTGAAAAAAGTGAAAATTTTCTGAAAAAAGTGAAATCTTTTTTGTGGCAAAACGGGCCCTAATGCAGCCAGCTAAATCGCATTTGAGATTTAGCTGATTGATTGATTTATACATCCCATACGAAATTCAAATTAAAAAAAAAATCTTTAATAGATAAAATCGCACAAAGTTTAGAAAAAAAAGAAGATGAAACTAATGTTAGCCTGTTGAGTCCTACATTGGTCAAGTATATAAGCCAGCATCGCCCTATATGATCTTAGACAATGTGATCTCCTCACCAGATGAACTAATTTTCGGGGCTGATTTAGGTACAAGGTCCATGTTCCTAATATGGTTAAGACAAGACTAATCTAATGTTTGGTTACGCAATGTTGGGCCCCATTATTATATTATTCCATGCTCAGATATTCAACAATGGATGTGCAGGGGGTGTATAGTGCAACATTAGACAATCATGTGCATGAGTCCTAGATATGGTCTTGGACGCTCCTCACCTCATGAGCAAATTTTCGAAGTTAAATTAGGTCCAAGGTCCATTTTCTTCACAAAGTCAGTTAGAGTGCTTCCACATTTACATATAAAGATCAAAACTTAGAACCAATTAGGTTTCTAGGGATCTGCCTAAGTGTGCACACTTCTCTAATGTACAGTTTAAAGCTTGCAGAGATATATTTCAAAAAATGGAATAAGTTCCAAAAATAAATCGGCAGAAACACCTTAAAATTATAAAGTAACACTAAACGGTAGTGGTACTATGTTCTGGAATGTTACACCTTAATTATAAGAACAAACCAGGAAACATGATTAACCAAAAATGGCAATCATTGGTTTAATGGCATAAACTGAGATCGTTCTGCTATAACGTGACAGTGCTACCATTTGTCCCTTCGGGGACATCAGATAAAACGGTGAAACTATATGTTTCCTCTTTTTTGGATATCTGTGACACCATTTCATCACAGTAAGCATCAAGTTTCACCTCAATCATCCACATTCAACTATCCAGGAAGCAGTATGAGATGCACAAAACGATGTCATAAATATTTATAATCAACTCAGACATGTAAAACTGCAAAAGGATTTATTAACATCCCTGTTAAATTATGTGTTTGATTGATCTGAAGGCATAAAAACGAACAGATAGGGAAAACCACCAAAAATGAAAAAACTGCAAGAAATAAATTATCATATACTAATTCATTACCTTTCTATCCAAATCAAGGGCTTTGGAGGCTAATCCTTCAAGCCACTGAACAATTCGGAGGCACAGTTGTGCAGTATGATTCTTCACTACAAATTGGCAAGCTTCCAAGTGTGAAGTAGTTGGCAACTGCAAAGAACATTGTATGACAAACAAAAATTAAACAAAAAAGAAACCAAACACATTAACAGCAACACTACTACTCTGTTAACAACTAAAGATGCATCACCAGGATAAGGTCTTCAGGAAGTTCTTCATTTCCTGCAAGAGGATGAAATGTTCAATTTAAATAACAATAAACATCTAGCAAATGAACTTGAGCAGGAAACTATTTTCTGCTCATTATGAAAACTTTATGCAGTAAAATTGCTGAAACACAACAAAAAGAGATCCAGCCAATAATTGACATTGTGAACTGCTTCCCACAAGAAAATCAAAGATTTACTACACATTTAAAAGTGACTCATGTCCGCAACCTCTTTTCAAGAGCCAAATGCAGAGTATATTTAGAAAGAACATGAAACTCCTTTTGTCAACATACAAGGAAATGAAAGATCTACATTATTCAACCGTTACAGGATTTACATGAATTCTAATACTACACCAAGGATTTACATGAATTCTAATACTACACCAAAAGGCTATCTCCAAGTGTCAATTGTGCACACACATTGTTATATTTTTTATAATGACGTAGATGAAAGAAAAGAATTCCTTCCATTCCCTTAATATGACAATTTGTGTTGTCATCAAAATTATCAAGTTTTAAGTTGAAAATAATGTCCATTAGTTCATACTTCCAAATTGCATCATTTTTTTAACCAAGTACAGCATTTCCAAACTGAATCTTAGACACTTCAAAAACTACATTGAGAATATTATCTACAATAAATGATTAGATTTTCATGATAATTGAAAATTTAAAAAGAAATACCATAACCTAAAAGTTAAAAATCAAAAAGTTAATTCGAATCATATGAATTAAGACAAATGGAGTAACAACTATGCCCAAAGACACACAAAATTTTCTCACTACCAAAGTAAGAAGTGGCAAGACTTTCTAGTGATAACTTAAGAACATAGGTATTAAAAGGTTGACGACTTATTTCCTTTTCCATAAAGATGCCACAAGAGCGACCATGAAGCTGCCTCGTCAAGCAAAATCCGTGCCTTCTGTCTCATCAATTTGTCCTCCATAACTCTGTGCATTTCATTAGAACCATACCTACAGGAAAAGAGCACAAGAAATTGCAGTCTCACATGAAAACACAATAGATATATCCTCTATCTGGGACTACTACACTACAAAGTTCACAATAGCATTGGAGGATGTTGGCAAACACCATAGATTTCACAAATTTGGCATCTTAGTTTCTGTTGTTTTACTATTTTAGTCATTACAACCACTAAAAATTCTCTTTTTTATAATGAAAAATTACAGATTGAAGAAAACTAAAGATTATTTACTTTAAGGTGGAAAATCAGTCAAATAATATAAGAGCGCTTCACAGTGGTAGTTGCAGGTGAAATTGTATAATGGTTAGACAATAAGGTGGAAAGGCGGCAAAAAGGAAAACATGAAAAGGACTTACTGTTATTTGAGGTCTTTGTAAGTTATTTACTAAGGAGAGCAGTTTCTCTGCTACTAGTCAGAGCACATATTTTTATTACCCTGGCTTGTTGGAAAAGCCAAATTGATACACTGAAATATGAAAGACTTACTAAAGTCAAATAAAACTTGGAAGACTAGTGTGCTAGTTCAGAAGACTTCCACAATCCAATTGGACGGATACACATATAGGAACAAGCAAATCAGGAGTATCTACACGTTTAACCAAGATATTAACTTTTTCTTTTATTTTAAACTACAGGAGGAGCACAAGAGCTGGAAAATCATTTTTAAAGAGTAATAATACTCCAAATCACAACAGATTTAAATGATTGCAAAAAGGGGGCAGCATGTGGCAAAGAAGAAAATAAGGTTGATTGACAAAGAGCTCTTTGGACCAAAAAGGCAAAACTAGTCTAAGGCTTGGTGGACTCTCTTAGTGTCATATTGTGGGAGGAATGTCAACCCAACTTCGAGATCCTAGTTTTGATCTGGACTAACTTCGACAGAAGTTTATCCAGCCTTCGCAGAAGTTTAAAAGGATGTAAAATACTTCTGAGGCAGGGATTTGAGATTGTCAATCACTTCAAAGAACTCAAGCATGTAATTGAAGATACTCGAGAATTTTTGAAGCAAAAAAGGTGCACTAACGATAACTACAAAAGCTAACAAAGACATAATTTAAACTAGCATATTCTTCATAGATTACAGATGAATTGAATGTCCACCTTTCTTTTTAGCTTATTTAAACTAAAATCCAGTGCAGCACATTTCCAGCAAACAACAATTCATGTCTTTCCTTTTATTTTTATTTTTATTTTTTTATCAGTAAAACACTCATCTACTTCTTATTACTATAGAATCAAAATGTAACTTGTGGCACTCATATTTTTCCCAGTTAACAGTAAACAACACATTGTCAGCTCTCGTATTAATAGCCATAAACAGTCAAATAGAGACATTCAAATTGGGATAAAATGCACATATGATACAGCGCAACAGAAATACCTTTTTTATGAAGTAAGTAGATTTCATTAATGGCATCAAGAAGATGCAGATATAATAAAAGATAGAGGTCAGCTCCAATAAACAGAATTCTAAGCCAAGGCTAGTGAGTAGACAAAGAGGAGCAGCATACATACCTTATTGATTCTGAGACGTCACGGCAACAATTCTCAAAATGTAATATCAAGTCGGGGATAGAAATTAACCCTACACCACATAGAAACAGAAACTGTTAGGTATAAATTTTTAAAATATTTTCCCTCATTCATGGAATACTAAGAGAACTTTCTCCTGAAAAATGGTAAATTAATCTACACTGCATAATGTCCAAATCTCCAAAGTTCAAATCTTCCAAAGCTGACAAGAGAGGCTTGCTCTAGTGGTTGAGCACCTCCGCCATCAACCAGTAGGTTGAGGGTTCGAATAACGTTGGAGGGTAAGTGGGAACACTATTGGTCCTCCTGATGGGGTGGGGTAGGTAAAAAAAAGTCTTCCAAAGCCCAATTCAGGCCATATATACAACCCAACATGTCCTATCTGTAAAAGAGTGAGAGAACCAAAAAAATTGAAGTTTGTTTTAAAAACAGAAAGAGCAAAATTCAAAATTTTCTCTATTTCACATGCACGAACCCACGCAAAAGAGAGAAGATTATTAGGTCTCAACAAAAATTTAATTCCACGATTGTCCTGTCTGGCTCTCTCTCAGTTTCCTAAAATCCAGCTTCTACAGAAAGCATTGCATGCCATCCTTATAAATATAGGGAAAAAATCCAGAGATTATGAATAATTCAAGTACCAATCAACATAAAGATTAATGATCTTGACATGTCAACTTTAACATCAGATCTGCGTAAGTAACTAGAAATGTAGACAATTTGGATACAAGATTTAACCAGAAAAGAAATCATAACCACACAGTAAGAAAATCATTACACTAGTTCTTTTAGCCTATGAATCTTAGCGATAAGCATGCAGAAAATATCAAAGCAAAACCTCATGAACACAAGTTAGTTACACAATATAACTATACATAGCTTACAAATATATCTCATGCCTCTCCACTTCTCAATCTGCATATAGATATTCATGATAAGCAATTTTTTTTATTCATAAAAAAATCAATTAATCAATCAATCCACTACACCTCAATCCCAAAAAACTAGAATCAGTTTTATTTGGGTAAGGTAAAGTAAAAATTAGAATCACAGTTTTTTTCTCTAAACATCAAAATTCAAGACATAATGGGTTGAAGTGGAACCCAAGACATCACTTGCACCAAGCAATCCCATTTCTCTAAACCCATCTCACAAATATCATCAAATCTAAAGAAGTGTAAATGGAAAATTAGTGTTGGGAGCCCTAGGGTATTTTCAAAATGTAAGCTACATAATAACGACAATCCAAATCATCACCCAAGCACTTTCTGTTGATCAAAGAATGCCACCTTGCGCTGCTGTAAATAAGGTTATATTAGGTCAACACAATTTTACTAATAAGCACCTTGAAGAGCTGAATCCAGTAGAGAAGCAAATAAAGAAAATGTTGAGTCTCCACTGTCTGGTGATGCATCATGCTCCTCCTTGCAAGTTCTAAGGGAAATACTTCCACCTCGACGAATCAAATCAGTATCTGTCTCTAATATCCCATGGCTATCAAGAGATGGTCTACTCTTAAAGGCAGTTTGTATTCGAGAAGGTGTTACATCAGCATCAATACTTTCAACTTCTTGTTTGATGTTCTCCATAAAAAGTGCTCCATTCGATCTAACCTCACTGACCCTAGCAGTAGATCTTTCCCGATGAGGAGATAGGCTTGAACCTGAACTCCTCTTCCTGTGCATGGTACCAATGCTTCAGTGCGGTGTGAATTTACAAAAAAAAAAAATTACACACACACAAACTAAAGTAGATGCCAAGCCCATAAAAACCATTGCCGATGCTATGAAACAGCATATAGTTACTACAGAAATATAAGCAAAGGGACCTTCAACTACCATACTCTAAATACTTTCAGAAAAATATCCGCTCCATGTCTACTATACAGAAATACACATACTCTTGTAAGATAATAGGAGTATCCAATAGTATTAGACTATTAGTTCATTTATCTTTCTTTAATTTTTTTT